AACTCTGTGTTTAACCCATAAGAGCCCACGCTGACACAGAGAGGACATTAACGTTCTGGAAAGTTCCTTATTCACTCAACTCATTCTGAACTAGATCTCACCAGAATCAGGAGATGCTGTGTTACAAGATGAGCCTGATATGCTCAAAGCTGTTCGGTGTTCTGATAAATATGTAAAGAATATGAGTTTCATCTGAGATACGACTCAGAGTGAGATGTTTGACTGAACTAGATGATGCTTGAGCCTCTGCCTCACTGCAGTGTTACTCCTGGAGTTATGATGTCTCAGGAGCAGAGACACATTCTGACTGGATACCAGACACTGGGCAGGATCTCCAGAGTTTGTAGTGTAACGCCCCCGCTGTGTGCAGGTTGGAGGGCCGTCTGAAGAAGCTGCGCTGGTGGCTGGACCTGATGGAGCAGAGGATGACCTCCGACCTGATGGAGGCTCTGCAGCGCGGCCCGGAGAGAGCAGCGCTGCAGCAGGTGGAGGAGTTCCAGCAGGAGGTGCTGAAGGAGAGGTGAGGAGTGTTTGGAGATACTCAGGAAGGCATTGTCTCCAAATGTGTTTTTGTCCCGTGCTCCGGCTCTCTCTGCTGATAGCATAAAGCTATTTGGACGTAAAAATTGCTATTTTAAGATCTTGGTTATTGTTCCTGATCACAGCGTGGGGCACACAGGATGGGTCTGAGAGCCGTCCGTTTCAAACCTCACAAATATTTCTGTTTTTACAGTTTCTGTTTGTGATGAATTATGTCATTTTAGGTGTTTTCTTTTTTTTAAGAAACCATACAATTTAAGAAATGTCAATATTCTAAATAAATCAAAAGAGTTACATTAGTCTGATCTGTTCAATAAATAATTCCTTCTCTTCTCATGGGAAACGGTTAAATATAAACTTATATAACAATAATAAAAGAACTCGATCACAATAATTCCTGTTTTTTCAGTTTCTGTCTGTGAACAGTGGTTTCATGTCGATATTTATTAACCCTTCCTCCCCCTGCAGGGACTCTTTTGAGCGTCTGTGCCAGGAGGCGCAGGCACTGAACGAGGGGGGGCGGGGCGACGGCAGTGAGACCCGGGTGTCTGCGCAGCTGCAGTCGCAGTCGCAGGCTCTTCTGCGCAGGGCGAAGGAGAAGCTGCGCTGCGTTCAGGTGTCCCTGCAGGAGACGCTGGGATACGAGGAGGCGCTGCAGAGCTCCAGGCTGTGGCTGAGCAGCGTGACGGAGCGCCTGCACCTCCTCAACTCCACCACCGGCAGCAAGGAGGCGCTAGAGAGCAGGCTGGCTGCCGTGCAGGTGAGAACACCCTCCCTGGAGCTCCCCAAATTAAAGCTTTACAATGTTTTATTTATGTTTTATGTGCAAGTAGTTTATTTGAATTTGAATTTGAAGTGTCATTTCAGAAGGTACAACGAGATCAAAGAAATCCTTTCAGTGCATATCTTACAATCACCAAGCAGTAATCACCAGAGATGACAAAAGTACACACATCCTGTACTCAAGTAGAAGTACACACATCCTTTACTCAAGTAGAAGTACACACATCCTTTACTCAAGTAGAAGTACACACATCACTCAAGTAGAAGTACACACATCCTTTACTCAAGTAGAAGTACACACATCCTTTACTCAAGTAGAAGTACACACATCCTTTACTCAAGTAGAAGTACACACATCCTTTACTCAAGTAGAAGTACACACATCCTTTACTCAAGTAGAAGTACACACATCCTTTACTCAAGTAGAAGTACACACATCCTTTACTCAAGTAGAAGTACACACATCCTTTACTCAAGTAGAAGTACACACATCCTTTACTCGAGTAGAAGTACACACATCCTTTACTCAAGTAGAAGTACACACATCCTTTACTCAACACCATCCTGTACTCAAGTAGAAGTACACACATCCTTTACTCAAGTAGAAGTACACACATCCTTTACTCAAGTAGAAGTACACACATCCTGTAATCAAGTAGAAGTACACACATCCTTTACTCAAGTAGAAGTACACACATCCTTTACTCAAGTAGAAGTACACACATCCTTTACTCAAGTAGAAGTACACACATCCTTTACTCAAGTAGAAGTACACACATCCTGTACTCAAGTAGAAGTACACACATCCTGTACTCAAGTAGAAGTACACACATCCTTTACTCAAGTAGAAGTGCAGATACTCGTGTTTAAAAATACTCTGGTGAAAGTAGAAGTACTGACTAAACTTCTTTACTCAAGTCAAAGTAAAGAGGCTTTGAAATGTACTTCAGTAAAAAGTACCCATAACTAGCAGCTGTTTTAAAGAGTACTGCCCCTTTATTTT